AACTTTTTAGTTAAAAAAAGTTTTAGAACATTTCTTTTTAACAAAATGTCCCCATCATTCAATTAGGATATTTGATAAGGTTCAAAATCAATAAACTTTTAGAATGCTATGTATGACAAGATGAGAGATTAAGAGTTTGTTTTTTTTGTAAGGATCTGTGAGAGAAGATCTGAAAGAGATGATTTGAATGGATTTGAGTGAATTTGAGGGTAATTTTTTTGTTGTTTTTTTTTAGTGGATTTGTGAGTAATTGAGAGTGGATTTAGAAGTAGTTTGTCAGAATTAGTATAGGATTTGATTGATGTGATAAATTTAAAAAATTAGTTTAATAGATAGAAATTAAATATTATCAAAATGTCCCTAGTTATTAAAGTAATATAAAATGTTATTTATTAATGTTATATTTAATTGTAGAAATGTTTATAAAGAGACAAAAATTATAAATAATTTTTAAAATTAATTTTTAAAAATTATAAAAATTATAATGTAGTAAAATGAATTTATTTTTAGATATAATATTTGTTTGTAATATAATTTACTACCAAGTAATATAAATGTATTTATTACGGAAGTGAAATTGATTAATTTTAAACAAACAAATAATTAATATTACATTACCTAAAAAATGTTGACAACATTAATAAAAATGAGATTTAAATGGTGAAAAGTTATTCTGAATATTATATACCGATTATGAAGAAATACATTTAATAATACACTGTTTAAAGACGAAAAAAACTTAAAGAAATAAAATGTGATAAAAATAAAGTTTATTTTTTTAAAATATTTTCATCTTATTTTGAAGCTTAAACTTGCAGTCACTAATAATACTTATTTTTATTTTTCTGATTTTTTAAGTAATATAGTATATTTTACTTAAACATAAAAGCAAAAAAGTCTTACAAAATTGAAAATTCTATAGTTTATGCATACAGTGTACTTTCAGCAGGAATAGTACAACAGCGCATAAGTAACATAGGAAAGGGTATAATCTATATTATCACCCACCCATACTTCACAAATTTCCGATTTCACCCTTGACCCCTTCCGATTTTACATGACAGTGCATGCATTTGGGTTCTCATCGCTGAATATTTGGGGAGGGTAGGCATGGAAATACGAAGGGTATACAAGGTGTGCAGGATATGCATACACCTCAATGCCAGAGCTTGGTGGGTTATAGAAGTATTCATTAATCTTCACCTCTGGAACAACTTTGTCTGCTTCCTCTGCCTTGGTCTCATCCTTTGCTTCTTCCTCTTTCTTTTCCTTGTTTTCTTCTCCTTCACCACTCTTCTTCTCTTTCTCAACCTCCTCCTTTTTCTCAACCTCTTCCACCTNTCAAATAATCAAATTTGTGATTTTAATTTTGATATAACTAGTTTTAAATATGTGTATATGTACGAATTGATGTTTTTTTTATGTTAGTAATTATATAGAGATTGAAAAAAAAATATTTTTAAGTTTATAATTAAATTTTGAATAAAATCAAGGTGAAAAATTATTATAAGTTTAGAATGTTAATATATGTGTAAAAATATAAAGAGTAAATTTTATAAAAATATAAAGGATATATATAATATGTGAAAAAATATAGAGTAAACTTTCTAAAAATATAAAAAATAAATTATGAAAAATATGTTGAGTATATTTGTTATAAATACAAATCAATGTATGAATATACTGGTCTAATGTGTATTGCTAGACTTGATAATCAATGCATCGATAAATTGGTTTAATATCTAATGTTAGATTTGTGTAATCAATATCTATTGTGTATTGCTACACTAATCTACTGTGTGTTGTCTAATATGTATTGCAAGACACATTTAATTAGTGAATAAATAAAGTTATTTAGTGTATATTAATAGACTTGTGTAATATGTATATAAATAGACTCGTCTAATATATATTACTAGATTCATTTAATCAATATATGGACAAACATATCTAATGTGTGTTTCAAGACTCGTTTAATTAGTAAATTAATATACTCACCTAATGCGTATTATTAAACTCGTCTTAATGCATGGAATTACTTGTTTTATGTTTTATGTACAAAATATTTATCTAATTAGTGCATGGATAGACTCGTCTAATATGTATTGTTAAACTAATTAGTGTATGAACATATTCATCTAATATTAAAAGATTCATTTAATTAGTGAATGAACATACTCGTTTATAATGTGTATTAATAAACTCGTCTAACACACTCATAACGTTCTTAAATTAGATATGAATACCCAATTCTATGTATAAAAAACCTTTAAAATAAGTTTCAAATCATAATTTTTCTAAACCAATTATTCTAACAACTTTGGAATACCTATTTAAACTCAATTAAAAATAAAACTATCCAATTTAATTATAAACACTTTGACACTTAGAAGTCATTACCAAATTCAAAATGAATATATTAATCCAAATAAAATCTAATAAATCAAATACTTTACTTTCAATTTCACCATTCATGCCATCACGCACAAAATAATTTAAATATAATTTAAAATAATTCCTCTTACCGAATTGGCAACCCAATAATAATTATACAAGGCTCAAATAGCACCACAATCTTCTATACACTTAATCAAACATTGCCATATAAATCAAAACTTCAATCAATGAAAAAATTAGTTGAGAAAATATTTTTGTTAGCTAACAAAACAAACACAACGGTCAAACATTCATAAAATAGACTAAAAGATCACAAATTTGAGAGAGACAAAAATTACACTTACTCCAAATTGAAAAGTGTTTCAATGGAAGTATTCTAGAAATTGTGCATGGTAGGAGGTGTGGGCTTTATTCATTCGTGACCGGTCAAAAAGTTGTATGCTCTCGAGTTCATTGTAATCACTCTAGATCTATATTTCTGTGACATGAGAAGATATGGAAGAAAAGAGAAAATATAACATACAACATCATGCATATTTTTTTAATTCAAGAAAATTTATTAAGTATTTTCATTATAAAGTAACTCAAACTTGAGTTTATTTAAACAATATTTACACAATCTTGACATAGTACTATGGTCATTATTTATTATTCTCTCATTAATTAACCATATTATTATTATATACTTGAGATAAGTATTATTCTAATAAGAACATTGATCCATATTATTATTATATACCTGAGATAAGTATTATTCTAATATGAACATGGATTCACAATCCATGTTCATCTTATAAATACATATAGTATTTTTAGAAAATATTTACGATACAACTAATGCTCATTATATTCATAAATCATAAATTTTCTTAGATTAAAATCTTGTCTAAAAATTCAAACTCAAGATTCCAAAAGATCAAGAATGATAACAAAAATAACTTACTTAAATAAGTTTATTAATTAATTAAAATAAATTTTAGATAGACAAAATTGACAAATTAACTTATATATGAATCGGTTTTAATTTATATAAAAAGGTAACTTTCATTTTTATCTTATTTTAAACAAAATATGATAAAATCTATTCAAACAAATATTAAGAATATATAACATTAAAGATAATCAAAATAAAATGAAATGAAACTAGAGCATCATGAGCTCGCCAGAACACATTTTCCATCATATTTCATCTACATAGATATATAACTCCACATTATAGAAAGTATTTCATTCCACTATCCGTTTGTGGTCACAAAAATCTACGAAGAATTTTGAGAATTTTTCTTTTTAGTGGCTTCTTTATTTTTTTAATTAGAAAAATTCTTGAAAACACTTCTAACACGCATATGAAATTCAAGAAATTTTCTTTCTGATAATTACTAAATATTTTATAACAGAGTGCTTTGAAGAAAAAAAATTATTATTATTATAGAAAATAAAAATAATATCACTGTCACTCAAAGTTGACTAAATATAATTTACATCGAACTAAGTTTGAATATTAACGTCATTACAATATTTTATGATTTGACGTTTAGTTAGGAGTCACATTAAACAAGTGACAGGATAACTTTATCTAATATTAAAACTAATATTAACTACTTTAAACAATATACACTTAATTTAAGAAAACCTACCAAATCCGAACATACTTATAAATCTATGACCTTGTATAACATAACATGCTGATAAATGTAAGTACAACAACTTTTTAGTTAAAAAAAGTTTTAGAACATTTCTTTTTAACAAAATGTCCCCATCATTCAATTAGGATATTTGATAAGGTTCAAAATCAATAAACTTTTAGAATGCTATGTATGACAAGATGAGAGATTAAGAGTTTGTTTTTTTTGTAAGGATCTGTGAGAGAAGATCTGAAAGAGATGATTTGAATGGATTTGAGTGAATTTGAGGGTAATTTTTTTGTTGTTTTTTTTTAGTGGATTTGTGAGTAATTGAGAGTGGATTTAGAAGTAGTTTGTCAGAATTAGTATAGGATTTGATTGATGTGATAAATTTAAAAAATTAGTTTAATAGATAGAAATTAAATATTATCAAAATGTCCCTAGTTATTAAAGTAATATAAAATGTTATTTATTAATGTTATATTTAATTGTAGAAATGTTTATAAAGAGACAAAAATTATAAATAATTTTTAAAATTAATTTTTAAAAATTATAAAAATTATAATGTAGTAAAATGAATTTATTTTTAGATATAATATTTGTTTGTAATATAATTTACTACCAAGTAATATAAATGTATTTATTATGGAAGTGAAATTTATTAATTTTAAACAAACAAATAATTAATATTACATTACCTAAAAGAAGTGACAACATTAATAAAAATGAGATTTAAATGGTGAAAAGTTATTCTGAATATTATATACCGATTATGAAGAAATACATTTAATAATACACTGTTTAAAGACGAAAAAAACTTAAAGAAATAAAATGTGATAAAAATAAAGTTTATTTTTTTAAAATATTTTCATCTTATTTTGAAGCTTAAACTTGCAGTCACTAATAATACTTATTTTTATTTTTCTGATTTTTTAAGTAATATAGTATATTTTACTTAAACATAAAAGCAAAAAAGTCTTACAAAATTGAAAATTCTATAGTTTATGCATACAGTGTACTTTCAGCAGGAATAGTACAACAGCGCATAAGTAACATAGGAAAGGGTATAATCTATATTATCACCCACCCATACTTCACAAATTTCCGATTTCACCCTTGACCCCTTCCGATTTTACATGACAGTGCATGCATTTGGGTTCTCATCGCTGAATATTTGGGGAGGGTAGGCATGGAAATACGAAGGGTATACAAGGTGTGCAGGATATGCATACACCTCAATGCCAGAGCTTGGTGGGTTATAGAAGTATTCATTAATCTTCACCTCTGGAACAACTTTGTCTGCTTCCTCTGCCTTGGTCTCATCCTTTGCTTCTTCCTCTTTCTTTTCCTTGTTTTCTTCTCCTTCACCACTCTTCTTCTCTTTCTCAACCTCCTCCTTTTTCTCAACCTCTTCCACCTTCTCCTCTTTCTTCTCTTCTTTCTTTTCTGCCTCCAGCTTCACGATCACTGCCTGCTTTCCAGTTCTCTTGTACACGTACTCAACCAGCTTCTCTGGATCGTACACGCCCTTCACACCCACCATTGAGTTCTTCAGATCGGGATCAGCTGATTCCACTCCTGTACAATTTTAATAGTAACAACAACAAAGTTACACCAAAGCAACAAAGTTACACTCACCGTTGAGTTCTTCATATCCGGATATGCTCTGTAACCGCATGATTTCGAACCATAACTCCAAATTGTAACCGGATACGCTTCACGTGTAACCAAATACACCTCGCTTCTACAACTCTTCCAAGACATCGAACCAATTACGCTATTCTTTGTAACCGAATACACATCCCGTCTTCAACTCCCTCGTCATCGTCAACCACGTTCTTCCTCCTCCATTAACCACTGTCTTGCTTTTCATCTATATCACACACCTTCAACCTGCAACAAGCACATCAAAATCCAAAAATAAACATTACCTCTACCAAGCATCGTCTTATTAATAACGTAAGAATCGAATATGCATTTTTTATGTTAAGCATGACATAATTGTATGCTTGGAAATTTGATAATAGTAAAGGGTAAAGCAGTCTTTTCGTCCAAATCAGCTCAAATATTCTCAAATTAGCGGGATGCTGATAATGTCCAACAAATCTTCACTTTTCCCTCGTCTAAATTGTCGCAAGCGAACATCACTCCTGTGTCAAATCCGTCTTCGTTATTTCACGTAAACAGTGAAATACCTTCAAACGAACACAGAGTAAGTGATAAGTTTATAAAAGAATACGATCACAAAGGAACACATAAACAAAATATTTTTTAAAAAAGGAACAGTAATGTTTTGTTTATTTAACTGGATTTTAAAGTAATTGAGAGTGAATTTAGAAGTAAAGTTTTTGAGAATTAATATGGATTTGATTGATGTGATAAATTAAAAAAATTTACTTCTAAATCCATTCTCATTAACCTCCAAATTCACTCAAATAAACAACAAAAAGGATTTACTTTAAAATCTCCTCAATTATTTTTCCTTAAATCCATTAATAAAATCTAAGAGACGTCAATAATGTACATTAACTTAATATAATGTAGTATCAACGCTAAAATTGTAGATTAAAGTATTATAACCATACAGCAATTAGTAACATACTACTTATATAATATACTATGCGATTATCCACAACCTTCTACAATTTAGTATAAGTCAAGTGTTATAATAAATAATAACGAAATATTCAATCCAATTCAATGTACTTTTCTTTCTGTTTTTAAATGTTTCACTTTACTTTTTCTCAGAGGGAATATTAATTAAAAATAACAACATGTAAGTCACATAAAAATGTACTTATAGATATATTAAAAAGTAGAAGAGAAACAATAACATCTAAAATTATTTTATATTAAGAAAATGCTTATTCATGCACATTTTTTTATTATTGATATTTTGATTTGTGTCATGTATAAGTATTTCCCATGTGTATATGATATTTTAGAATACTTTATTAATATTTATTAATAAAGTATTTAATATATAAAACAATAGTATTTTTATGAATAATTTATAATATTTTATTATGATAATGTTTAATATATATAATTTTAATTCAAATTCATACAGTCATATATTTATAATATTTTGAATAATCTTTTATATATTTTTTACGTATATTATCTTATTATTTTTAAAATAAACTGTCATATCCGACACAAGTGTCATATTCGACACGTATCATATCTTTACTTTATAGATACACACAATAAAAGATACATATTTAAGCTATAATAATTATAATCATATGATATTTCTCATTAGTGATTGTTCAAAGTATCATTTAGTTTTATCTCGAAAGAGATGAGACTAATTTTTCTAAATATTTTTATTATGATATTATTTATTTTAAATATATATTAAAAATACTTAACTGCATTTTTGGTTTCTTAAATATTATAATTATGCGAATTTTGTTTTCTAATTAATTATATAAATTAGATGCTTCAATTATTTAAATTATGCACTTTATTCTTCTTTTAATATTTTATTATATTTGTACATATTTTATTAAGGTAACATTGGATAATAAAATGACACTTGAAGTAATAAACTCTATTAAATATTTAATAAAAGATGGATAAAAAGTCAAACATGTTAGTTACTCAAACAAAAGCCACTACTTGAAGCGACTACTTGTTCATTTGTTTCTGTTTGTTCAGTTAATAATATGTTTTTCCATATCAGTTGTATATAAACTCGTTAAGTGCATTCAATGAGAGGTGTCTGAAAGTTAAATCGGTATTCTCCATTCTCTCTGTTTACCTCTCCTCTGTCTTGAAGTTAAGAGTGTGTAAAAAACTGAAGTACTGTTACATTGGATTTCTACAAGATATCATGAGCTAGACTGATCCTTCGATCCTGTGAAGCGAATAGAGCATTCAACTGAGCCTTGGGATAGAACAATGTACGTGGCTGTCTCTTCATAGTGGTGATCGATCTTGAAAATACCAAGAAACAAGTTTAAGGTATCAAGATTCGTGGATTGGTGAAGTTTCTAGGTTTACAGATTCAAGATGGCTGGAAATGGGAGTATCAGTCAAGGTGCACTCCTTGTGTTTGATGAAAAAGGCTTCAATGATTGAAAGATAAAGATGTTGGCTATATTTGGATTTCAAGATGTAGCAGACGTGGTGATGAATGGGGTTGAAGACCCTGGAAGTAAGGCTATAGAAGAAACCAAGAAGCAATTCAAGAATCTTCAAAAACTTGATATAAAAGCCAAATTTCTCGTCTACCAGTGTGTTGGACCGAAGATCTACAACAAAATTTCCAAAGCTGCAACAACAAAGGAGTGTTGGGAGATTTTGTTGAAGACCTATGGAGACGGAGGCAAAACCAAGAAGGTCAAGTTGCAGACCTTGAGGAGGCAATTAGAATCAAGAAGGTCAAGTTGCAGACCTTGAGGAGGCAATTAGAATGTCTCACAATGGATGAGAATGAAAGCATAGCCGATTACTTTGATAAAGTGCAAGACCATGTGAACGTGATAGCATGTAGAGATACTATTACTGATCAACATGTTGATAAAATTCTACGAATTTGCCACAGAGGTTTGATCATGTTGTAGTGGCAATTGAAGAAACAAAAGATTTGTAGGAAATGGAGTTAGAAACCCTGCAACATTCTTTCGAGGCGCATGAGTACAGGATTAATGAAAGGAGGCATAATCAAGAGCAAGCCCTTCAAGCAAGAGTGGTTCAGAAGGGAAAAGGCGACACCTCAAAGGGAAAGAAACCTTTCAACAAATAAAAGAAACCAGATGAAAAATCGAGAGATACATCCAAGAATAAAAAATATTACAAGAAGTAGTAGAGTGGTTCAAATGATGAAAAAGAATGGAAGTTTGACAAGAATAAGGTGAAGTGCTACAATTGCCAGAAGTATGGGCACTTTCCACGTGAATCTTGGGATGGTGAAGGTCCAAAGAACAAGCCAAAGAACCAAGCTAATATGGCCCATGATGAAGCATCTTCAGGTTCGAATGTGGTAATGTTGATGGCAAGAACCAATGAAGCTGATTCGCAAGAAACCTCATCCTGGCATCTTGATTCAGGGTGTTCTGCGCATATGACTGGGAGGAGAGACTGGTTTATAAAACTTAAAGATGTGTCTTAAGGAAAAATCAGGTGTGCTGACAACAGAAGTCTCAATGCAGTAGGATTTGGACGTGCGGTGTTGAAGGATTATGATGGAAGGGAAATAATCATTGATGATGTTCTGTATGTTCCTGGCCTGAAGACGAATCTGACGAGTCTTGGACAGCTCATGCATAAAGGATTTGCTATGGAAATGAAGGAGAATGGATTGAGCATATTTGACAAAGATCAGAAGTTGACGATTCATGCAAATCTTTCTGAAAACAGAACCTTTCGTGTTGGCATGGTTACAAAAACACTAATGCTTTGCCACTGAAGATAATAGGAATGAGTGTGTTAGGACATGGAGAGTCTATGAGAGGAGGAAGGGGAAACAAAACACTTAACTACTTAACTGCTAATCAGTTAAGTGAGGTGGCGGGAAAAGGGCCTATATATTAGGACCCTTAGTGTTTCAGTTAGGGAGTTGAGTAGTTTGTATGTGTAGACCGGTTTTAACACCAGGTGGAGGAGGTTAAGCTCCTAAGATACAGTGTAATCTTGATTCATTGATGTGAATACCAATCATACTATTCTTTCTTTTCAAATTCTTGACTGTGGTGTTTGAGTTAGAGAGAGAGTTGGTTAGGAATTCCTTTCAGAATCCCTAACAAAGTGGTTCGACCTGCCGGATCTGTGCGGAGGAGAGAGGGTGGTATGGAGGGAAGGATGAACGTTGTTGAGGGACGATTGGAGCACATCGAAATGGCGGTGGATGGGATGAAAGCGGAATCAGCGGCGAATCGACAAGAATCTATGGCCATGCGCAAAGACATTCAAGAATTGATAAGGGTGATGGGGGTGCGCAACAAGCAAACCGAGGAAGGCTCCGATGGAAGTCAAGGGTCCGTAAACCATAATGGTGGAAACCAGCGCGTTGATCAGGGGGACAGAAATGGTGAGGGGGAGAGATCGGGGAGTTTACCCAATTGGAGACGAGGGGTGGAATTACCCATTTTCGAGGGTACCGACCCTTTGAATTGGATCAGCATGGCGGAGAAATTTTTCGAGATTCAAAAGGTAGCAGAGGAGGAGAAGGTTGAACTGGCGCACATTAGCATGGAGGGAAGTGTTATGAGAAAAGAAAGGATAGGAATTGTATTTCTTATTCCAT